TAGTCACTGTATTCCTAGTTATATGCAATGTTCCCTCTAAACTGTGCGTGAGCGACGTGCAAGCAGTAGCCCAGAGACTGCCGTGCAGCTCACCGGGACTGCCGTGCAGAAATTTCAGCCCAAAGAGATAACTTTCTAGAGCAGTGGTCACCAACCGGTCCATCACGATCCGCTGGCCAATCGGATGGCTCAGATGACCATGTCTGCAGTAACTAAGCAGGCATAAAAGAAAGCTACAGTAAAGTTGATACTGTGAGATTTCAAAACGTTTACAACCATGACTAGAGAGAGACTGTCAACAAAGTGAGTTCATGTTTAAGTTCTTACTCCGCACTGCCAACACTTTGTACAGTGTCTTCAGAAAGTATTCAGACCCCTTGACTTTTTCCACATTTTGTTACATTACAGCCTTATTCTAAAATGGATTAAATAAATAAAAATCCTCAGCAATCTACACACAATACACCATAATGAAAAAGTAAAGAGGTTTTTTGACATTTTTGCAAATGTATTAAATATAAAAAACTGAAATACCTTATTTACATAAGTCTTCAGACCCTTTGCTATGAGACACGAAATTGAGCTCAGGTGTATCCTGTTTCCATTGATCATCCTTGAGATGTTTCTATAACTTGATTGGAGTCCACCTGTGGTAAATTCAATTGATTGGACATGATTTGGAAAGGCACACACCTGTATATATAAAGGTCCCACAGTTGAAAGTGAATGTCAGAGAAAAAACCAAGCCATGAGGTCGAAGGAATTGTCCATAGAGCTCCGAGACAGGATTGTGTCGAGGCACAGATCTGGGTAAGGGTACCAAAACATTTCTGCAGCATTGAAGGTCCACAAGAACACAGTGGCCTCCATCATTCTTAAATGGAAGAAGTTTGGAACCACCAAGACTGTTCCTAGAGCTGGCCACCCGGCAAACTGAGCAATCGGGGGAGAAGGGCCTTGGTCAGGGAGGTGACCAAGAACCCAATGGTTACTCTGACAGAGCTCTAGAGTTCCTCTGTGGAAATGGGAGAACCTTCCAGAAGGACAACCATCCTGAGATCCACAATAGGCCTTTATGGAATGCCAGACGGAAGCCACTCTAGTAAAAGGCATGGCCGCTGGAGTTGCAAAAGCACTAAAGTTATTGCTGTTCGAGCTATTGGCGAATGCGCCAAGTCTGGGGACCTGGCACCACTAGGGAAGCATGGTGGGTGTCAGCATCATGCTGTGGGGATGTATTCAGCGGCAGCGACTGGGAGACTAGTCAGGATAGAGGGAAAGATGAAACAGAGCAAAGTACAGAGAAATCCTTGATGAAAACCTGCTCCAGAGCGCTCAGGACCTCAGACTGGGGCCAAGGTTCACCTTCCAATAGGACAATGACCCTAAGCCCACAGCCAAGACAACGCAGGAGTGGCTTCGGGATAAGTCTCTGAATGTCCTTGAGCGGCCCAGCCAGAGACCGGACTTGAACCCAATCGAACATCTCTGGAGACACCTGAAAATAGCTGTGCAGCAACACTCCCCATCCAACCTGACATAGCTTGAGATGATCTGCAGTGAAGAATGGGAGAAACTCTTTAAATACAGGTATGCCAAGCTTATAGCATCATACCCAAGAAGACTCAAGGCTGTAATCGATGCCAAAGGTGCTTCAACAAAGTACTGAGTAAAGGGTCTGAATACTTTTCAGACCCTTTCAGTTAATTTCAGTTTTATAAATTTTTTATTAGCAAACATTTCTAAAAACCAGTTTTTGCTTTGTCATTATGGGGTATTGTGTGTAGATTGATGAGGGGAAAAATGATTTAATACATTTTTGAATAAGGCTGTAACCTAACAAAATGTGGAAAAAGTCAAAGGGTCTGAATACTTCCAAATGAGTGTTCTTCCTATTTCCACTCAGTGCTACAACAAGCACTGCAGCAGTAATAAATGAGCAGGAAGATGTATCTATAGGCTTGTGTTGTTATTATTAGCGGCTTGGGTCTTTTTTAATATCGAGGAATATTTCACTTTCTCTGTTCATAGGAGTAACATCATGAATTTGTGCATGAGGCAGAAATAATGCGGTGCGACTCGAGTTTCGCCATCAGCTGGAAGACGTGTCCCTTTTTGGTCAGTGTCAGTGGAGGAAAGGGGGAGCAGAGGGATTTTGAGAAGTGGATCCGCAGGGTGCTGCTCTCTCTCACCATCAGATGCTGGCACCATCAGCCCAGTAAAATAAAAAGCTAATGATTTAAATGCATGCTGACTCAGCTGTGCTTCGCAAGTAATACAATAATGGATCTATTACCGGTGTGATCATATAGCCTACCTCGAATTTTCAAAATACCATTTTTTTTCTATTGCCCGCACAACAATGCACGGGCAGGGCAATTTTGCTGTAGGCAGAACGCATCAGAGTAGGATTCTATTGCATTGACACGCACTACTCAGCCCGTACTTTACACAGACCGGTGCAGCATAAACAATCAGAGCTGCAGTAGGGTTATATACAAATAGAACACTGTCATATATGGATCTGTGCCATTTACTTTGAACTGGACTGTGTTTACAGCATGAACGGTCGTGAGGAGAAGCGCTTGTGTTGAGATCAGACAAAGAGCTGCATGTGCACATTTTGTTCATATCCTTTGCTAGGTAGTGAGTTATTAGCCCAGTTATCGATAATTTGTAGTCAGCAATAGGGGAGTGACTGCTTCCTACAAGAGCACAAAACGTATACATTTCTAGACATCTTTGAAAAGTGAGTCAGATAAAGAGCTTTTTTTTAGTCTTAAAAGGGCAGTGTTATATTTTGTGACAGGCTTGAATAAGCTAAGTAGCCAATTGGCAGAGGGTAGCATAATTTGTCTGAGTCTCTGTAATAATGGTATGGGAATAATAATGCATTTTATTTTGTAAAGTGGTTTCCTGCATCAAACAATACAACAACATTTTCAGTCACCTCCTTGTCTGAAGGACAAATGGATAAACAGGTTAATGTCAAGCCCTGCATGTTTGTTTTCAAAAGTCTAATGGAATGTAGGCCTACATTGAACACCACACATTGGCTGCTACTGTAGGCTGAATGATAGCGGTTCTATTTCCATGTTAAAATGTTATGGGATGCATTTTCTCAATTTTTTAATGATAGGCCACTCTGGTAGACCTACATTATGATCATATAGCCACAGCAGCCTACATGGCCACAGTTAAAACTGTAACTTAAAGCGGGTACAGACTCAGTGTTCACAGTAAACGCACACTGGAAGTTGCACAGAATTTTCACAACGTTCAAGTTTGCTCAGTGCCGAAATTATTTTGAGGGAACATTGGTTATACAGTGGGGAGAACAAGTATTTGATACACTGCCGATTTTGCAGGTTTTCCTACTTACAAAGCATGTAGAGGTCTGTAATTTTTATCATAAGTACACTTCAACTATGAGAGATGGAATCCAAAACAAAAATACAGAAAATCACATTGTATGATTTTTAAGTAATTAATTTGCATGTTATTGCATGACATAAGTATTTGATACATCAGAAAAACAGAACTTAATATTTGGTACAGAAACCTTTGTTTGCAATTACAGAGATCATACGTTTCCTGTAGGTCTTGACCAGGTTTGCACACACTGCAGCAGGGATTTTGGCCCACTCCTCCATACAGACCTTCTCCAGATCCTTCAGGTTTCGGGGCTGTCGCTGGGCAATACGGACTTTCAGCTCCCTCCAAAGATTTTCTATTGGGTTCAGGTCTGGAGACTAGCTAGGCCACTCCAGGACCTTGAGATGCTTCTTACGGAGCCACTCCTTAGTTGCCCTGGCAGTGTGTTTCAGGTCGTTGTCATGCTGGAAGAACCAGCCACGACCCATCTTCAATGCTCTTACTGAGGGAAGGAGGTTGTTGGCCAAGATCTCGCGATACATGGCCCCATCCCCTCAATACGGTGCAGTCGTCCTGTCCCCTTTGCAGAAAAGCATCCCCAAAGAATGATGTTTCCACCTCCATGCTTCACGGTTGGGATGGTGTTCTTGGGGTTGTACTCATCCTTCTTCTTCCTCCAAACACGGCGAGTGGAGTTTAGACCAAAAAGCTCTATTTTTGTCTCATCAGACCACATTACCTTCTCCCATTCCTCTGGATCATCCAGATGGTCATTGGCAAACTTCAGACGGGCCTGGACATGCGCTGGCTTGAGCAGGGGGACCTTGCTTGCGCTGCAGGATTTTAATCCATGACGGCGTAGTGTGTTACTAATGGTTTTCTGTAGCCCATCCCAGCCTTGTGCAGGTCTACAATTTTATCCCCGATGTCCTTACACAGCACTCTGGTCTTGGCCATTGTGGAGAGGTTGGAGTCTGTTTGATTGAGTGTGTCTTTTATACAGGTAACGAGTTCAAACAGGTGCAGTTAATACAGGTAATGAGTGGAGAACAGGAGGGCTTCTTAAATAAAAACTAACAGGTCTGTGAGAGCCGGAATTCTTACTGGTTGGTAGGTGATCAAATACTTATGTCATGCAATAAAATGCAAATGAATTACTTAAAAATCATACAATGTGATTTTCTGGATTTTTTTTTAGATTCTGTCTCTCACAGTTGAAGTGTACCTATGAGAACAATTACAGACCTCTACATGCTTTGTAAGTAGGAAAACCTGCAAAATCGGCAGTGTATCAAATACTTGTTCTCCCCACTGTATGTACATACCTACCTCAACTACCTTGTACCCCTGCACATTGACATGGTACTGGTACCCCGTGTACACAGACAAGTTATCATTACTCATTGTGTATTTATTATTACTTTTATTATTATGTGTTATTACTTTTCTATTATTGCTCTATTTTCATATTCTCTGCATTGTTGGGAAGAGCCCGTAAGTAAGCATTTCACTGTTAGTCTACACTGGTTGTTTAGGTAGCCTGTGACTAATAAAATAAAATGTTATTTGAATCCCAAAAAGCCAAGTCCACGGTGTCTAACAAATAGGGGGGGGGGGGAAATAACTCATGAGTCATAATATAGTTTCTTGTTTGTTTGTAAATAGTGGCAACGCTCTGATATTGTCAAAAAGGTGAATTCACCATGAAAGGAAATCTGACTCATGACTCTGGGCTGAGTAAAAGCAGATGTGTGCCTGCATCCGAAATTGCACCCTATTCCCTAAGTAGTGCACTACTTTCAACCAGGTCTCTGGGCATCAGTATCTCTGAACCTTTCAGGGCGGGCTGGCCAGGCCACTAACCTTTTCTCGTCTTTGATGATCCAGGCACTGGCTTCGGGGTCCACAGGGGCGTGCAGCTGACCCTCCAGCAGGGGGGCAAAACCCTGCACACCCACACTCACACTTTCCATGGAGAGCTTGAAGAGCACGTCGTCTTTGGTGATGCCTTCAGGCATACGCACAGATACTGTTATATCCTCTATTGTCTGCTGCCAGAAGTAGATGGGATCTGAATGGCATGCGGGAGATATAAAAATAAAATGTATGTCAATGTTGAGGACATTCAGATTTCTATAGATTCTTATATATAAATAAAACATGTAATACAAAAGCATGAACTGTATCACATTACTATAAAAACATTAATATGAGTTTAAGTCTGAAGATGGAAATGAGGATCCTAAAACTATGATAATGATGGTCATGTTCCAGTTTGAGGGGGGGAGGGGGATTCTCCCATGAGCTCTGAGGCTCTTACCACATAATCTAATAGCCTAATGGGCGACCGTCCGCACCACACCAAACTAGCGTGAGACAACACACGTGAGAGCAAAAATTACAAGATTATGTTGTAATACTGTTATTGCATCAAATGGTTGTTTTCTGCAATAGAATAGGGTTCTTAGAACTCTCATGTGTCTGTTAACACTGATAGTAGATTTATGATGGTTTGGTGATAAAACCTACAGCATGCATTCCATAGAATGAATTGGTGTTTGTGTATAATGACGTACCAGGGAGAGATGGCTCGGGCAGTAAAAACCCAACAGCAGTGGTGTAAAAAGTACTCAATTGTCATAATTGAGTAAAAGTAAAGATACCTTAATAGAAAATGACTCAGTAAAAGTGAAAGTCACCAAGTTCGAGTTCAAACAGGTGCAGTTAATACAGGTAATGAGTGGAGAACAGGAGGGCTTCTTAAAGAAAAACTAACAGTCAAATGTACTTAAGTATCAAAAGTAAAATTAAGAAACGTAAGAGCCGTAAATCCAAAAAGCAAAACAGCCAGACCTTTTATTTGGTTTGAGTTTTTCTGAAAGGTAATAGTCTTACGGATACAAAAAGAATGTGGATCCTCAAATAGGCAACACTTCAAAATACATCTCTTACAGACAAAACAGAATTATGCCTTAATAATGAAGGAATATAGCCAGGAAACGTAAGCACTTAAATTAACAAAACGCATAAGGCATCCGTGTCCTGGGATTGCTAGCGTTAAGCTGTCATTACTTGAAGTTGAAGAATTTACAGTTCAGTAAAAGCTGGTTTTCAAAGTTTCTGGAATCCAGCCTTGCTCTCCTGGGGCTGAAAACAAGTCCTGCAATGCTGAACAGCCTTTCATATGCAGCTGATGCAGGTAAGGGTGTGTTTAGCCTCAGAGACAGCTTACAGACTGCCGGGAAGGACTTGAGCAAATCCATATGATCAGCTGAACAGGCCAGGTATCCGTCCAGCTTTTTGGAGCTTTCTTGTGCTCGAGTTTGTCTTCATGGCAGAGAAGAAGTCCTCCTCATCTGATGAACTGGTGCCATCACCTAGCTGCAGCAAGAGTTCCAGGTGGTCCTTGATGTAGTCCACTCCTGAAATACTAGGAAGATAACAATAGAAATCATGCCGTTATGAGCCTACATTAATCCATCCCCCATCTATATAAACCAAAGCAACAGGGCTAAGTAGGCTACCCATTAGACTGAACCACAAAGGCAGGATTGTAGTTTAAATGGGTGGTTCTCAAATCTATGAAGTGTCAAAATGTACACTATACACAGTTGTTTATGAATAATAAAATACTGTTAATTAACACTGCAACAGATTTAGACAACATTCAAGACCTTAAATTATGACAAAATAATACATAATCCTTACTTACATTGGAACCTCGAAGTCTGTGCAGAGAACTCTGATGGCCGCTTCTCCTTTGTCTTTGACAATCCTCAGGAGTCTTTCTATAGCCATGAACCAGGAGTTCCAACTTGTAGCATCTTCAACCGTTTTGGCTGCAAGTGTGGATCTTCTGCATTTGTTCCAAAGTGATTGGCAAATGTTGAACGGGACACTTATTTGTAAGCCTCACTGGATGTTGCCTTCAGGGCATCGACTGTAGATACCAAGTCAAATCAAATCAAATTGTATTGTATTGGTCACATGCACCGAATACAACAGGTGCAGACATTACAGTGAAATGCTTACTTACAGGCCTTAACCAACAATGCATTTATTTTTAACAAAAAAAGTAAAAACAACAAAAAAAAGTGTTGAGAAAAAAGAGCAGAAGTAAAATAAAATAACAGTAGGGAGGCTATATATACAGGTGGGTACCGGTGCAGAGTCAATGTGTGGGGGCACCGGCTAGTTGAGGTAGTTGAAGTAATATGTACATGTGGGTAGAGTTAAAGTGATGATGCATAAATAATTAACAGAGTAGCAGCAGCGTAAAAAGGACGGGGTGGGGGGGCAGTGCAAATAGTCCGGGTAGCCATGATTAGCTGTTCAGGAGTCTTATGGCTTGGGGGTAGAAGCTGTTGAGAAGTCTTTTGGACCTAGACTTGGCACTCCGGTACCGCTTGCCGTGCGGTAGCAGAGAGAACAGTCTATGACTAGGGTGGCTGGAGTCTTTGAAAATTTTGAGGGCCTTCCTCTGACACCGCCTGGTATAGAGGTCCTGGATGGCAGGAAGCTTGGCCCCAGTGATGTACTGGGCCGTACGCACTACCCTCTGTAGTGCCTTGCGGTCGGAGGCCAAGCAGTTGCCATACCAGGCGGTGATGCAACCAGTCAGGATGCTCTCGATGGTGCAGCTGTAGAATTTTTTGAGGATCTGAGGACCCATGCCGAATCTTTTCAGTCTCCTGAGGGGGAATAGGCTTTGTCGTGCCCTCTTCACGACTGTCTTGGTGTGTTTGGACCATGATAGTTCGTTGGTGATGTGGACACCAAGGAACTTGAAGCTCTCAACCTGTTCCACTACAGCCCCGTCGATGAGAAAGGGGGCGTGCTCAGTCCTCTTTTTTTTCCTGTAGACCACAATCATCTCCTTTGTCTTGGTCACGTTGAGGGAGAGGTTGTTGTCCTGGCACCACATGGCCAGGTCTCTGACCTCCTCCCTATAGGCTGTCTCATCATTGTCGGTGATCAGGCCTACCACTGTTGTGTCGTCGGCAAACTTAATGATGGTGTTGGAGTCGTGCCTGGCCATGCAGTCATGGGTGAACAGAGAGTACAGGAGGGGACTGAGCACGCACCCCTGAGGGGCCCCCGTGTTGAGGATCAGTGTGGCAGATGTGTTGTTACCTACCCTTACCACCTGGGGGTGGCCCGTCAGGAAGTCCAGGATCCAGTTGCAGAGGGAGGTGTTTAGTCCCAGGATCCTTAGCTTAGTGATGAGCTTAGAGGGCACTATGGTGTTGAATGCTGAGCTGTAGTCAATGAATAGCATTCTCACGTAGGTGTTCCTCTTGTCCAGGTGGGAAAGGGCAGTGTGGAGTGCAATAGAGATTGCATCATCTGTGGATCTGTTGGGGCGGTATGCAAATTGGAGTGGGTCTAGGGTTTCTGGGATAATGCTGTTGATGTGAGCCATGACCAGCCTTTCAAAGCACTTCATGGCTACAGACGTCAGTGCTACGGGTCGGTAGTCATTTAGGCAGGTTATCTTAGAGTCCTTGTGCACGGGGACTATGGTGGTCTGCTTGAAACATGTTGATATTACAGACTCAGTCAGGGACATGTTGAAAATGTCAGTGAAGACACTTGCCAGTTGGTCAGCACATGCTCGGAGTACACGTCCTGGTAATCCGTCTGGCCCTGCGGCCTTGTGAATGTTGACCTGCTTAAAAGTCTTACTCACATCGGCTACGGAGAGCGTGATCACATAGTCATCCGGAACAGCTGGTGCTCTCATGCATGCTTCAGTGTTGCTTGCCTCGAAGCGAGCATAGAAGTGGTTTAGCTCGTCTGGTAGGCTTGTGTCACTGGGCAGCTCGCGGCTGTGCTTCCCTTTGTAGTCTGTAATAGTTTTCAAGCCCTGCCACATCCGACGAGCGTCAGAGCCAGTGTAGTACGATTCAATCTTAGTCCTGTATTGACTCTTTGCCTGTTTGATGGCTCGTCGGAGGGCATAGCGGGATTTCTTATAAGCGTCCGGGTTAGAGTCCCGTTCCTTGAAAGCGGCAGCTCTACCCTTTAGCTCAGTGCGGATGTTTCCTGTAATCCATGGCTTCTGGTTGGGGTATGTACGTACGGTCACTGTGGGGACGACATCATCGATGCACTTATTGATGAAGCCAGTGACTGATGTGGTGTACTCCTCAATGCTGTCTGAAGAATCACGGAACATGTTCCAGTCTGTGCTAGCAAAACATTCCTGTAGCTTAGCATCTGCGTCATCTGACCACTTTTTTATTAACCGAGTCACTGGTGCTTCCTGCTTTAGTTTTTGCTTATAAGCAGGAATCAGGAGGATAGAGTTATGGTCAGATTTGCCAAATGGAGGGCGAGGGAGAGCTTTGTATGCGTCTCTGTGTGTGGAGTAAAGGTGGTCTAGAGTTTGGAAATTAATTAGAAATTAGGTAGAACGGATTTAAGTTTCCCTGCATTAAAGTCCCCGGCCACTAGGAGCGCTGCATCTGGATGAGCGTTTTCCTGTTAATTTATGGCCTTGTACAACTCATTCAGTGCAATCTTAATGCCAGCATTGGTTTGTGGTGGTAAATACACAGCTATGAAAAATATAGATGAAAACTCTCTTGGTAAATAGTGTGGTCTACAGCTTATCATAAGATACTCTACCTCAGGCGAGCAAAACCTTGAGACTTCCTTAGTACTTGATTTTCTGCACCAGCTGTTGTTTACAAATATACACAGACCGCCACCCCTTGTCTTACCGGAGTCAGCCGTTCTATCCTGCCGATGTAGCGTATAGCCCGCTAGCTGTATGTTATCCATGTTGTCGTTCAGCCACGACTCGTGAAACATAAGATATTACAGTTTTTAATGTCATGTTGGTAGGATAACCGTAATCTTAGGTCATCCAATTTGTTATCCAATGATTGAAGATTGGCTAATAGGATTGATGGAAGAGGCAGTTTACTCGCTCGCCGTCGGATCCTTACAAGGCACCCCAATCTACGTCCACGATATCTCCGTCTCTTCCTCACGTGAATGACGGGGATTTGGGCCTTGTCGGGTGTCTGTATGATATCCTTCGCGGCCGCCTCGTTGAAGAAAAAATCTTCGTCCAATACGAGGTGAGTAATCGCTGTCCTGATATCCAGAAGCTATTTTTGGTTATAAGAGACGATGGCAGAAACATTATGTACAAAATAAATTACAAATAACACGGAAAAACACACATAATAGTACAATTGGTTAGAGGGCTGTAAAACGGCAGCCATCTTCTCCGGCGCTGTCAATGATGTTGAAGTTGAGTAGATGGCAAGCACAGCGCTGGTGCTTTGGCAGCTGGTACTCCAAACCATCATCTTCATTCAGGACCGTTGCCACATCAACCAACTCCACTTCTTCACTCTCCTCTTGTTCCTCTTCACCATCTTCCTGTCCTGGCTGAGCTGCTTCACCACCCACTGCCTCGTTTTTTTCATCTTCTCCAAGAACTTGGAAAGCTTTCAAGAAGTTAGAGCCATTGTCTGTTGTTGTTCTCACAATCTTACCCCGGATTTCAAACTCAGAATGGATGTCATTTAGGGCGACTGCCAACACATCAAACGGTGTGCGATCCTCTCAACCGTTTACAGGCCAGGGCTGCAAAGCATCTGTTGAGACTGTCAGGGTCTATCCAGTGGGCTGTAACACCAATGAAGCTACGTCTTCTTGCAGACCAGCAGTCGGTGGTGGTGGCAATGTGGTCAACTCCTCTCATGGCCTCAGTCACCTTCTTCATTTCCGTGGAGGCTTCATCAATCCTGGAGCACAGTGTAGGCCTTGATAAGATCTTTGAGTTAGGCTGCAGATCCTGGACAAACTCTCTGAACGGTTCTTGTTCTACAACAGTGAATGGTTGGAGCACTTGGACCACATACTTCTTTGTCGATGAATTTTTTTGAGACACTGTCTTCAGTAATGTGCTCTGCTTGATGGTGGAGGGAGTCTTAGGGGCATGTTCTCTTCAGTGTGTTTTCCATCAGTTCTCCATACTTCTTAAGATGGTGTACATGCTTTCTCTGAAATAAGAAGAAAAGGAAAAGAGAAAGACAGTTACTTAGCTACATAACTACCATCACCAAATACTTAAGATATAGGATCCTAATTTTAAAGCATAAACAACATTAGTTAAGTGAGAGTTTGTGACCACCATTTAATATTACAATGAGAAAAAAACTGTTAATTGATCTAGCTGTTAGGTTAACGTTATGTCAATAACTTAAGTCTACAGTAATTAGCTAGGTAAGAACAATTTTATCAACTAACATAAGGAATATGGCTAGCTAACACCCGAAAGCTAACATTAGTTAGCTAGCTAGCTTGACCAGGTATTTAAAGAAATTGTCTTTGGCTAGACTAACGTTAGCTGACTAAAATGTGCCCAGATTCGTAAACTACTAGTTGTTAACAAGCTAGCTAGTTAGCTCGTGTCAGTTTAGTTAGATTGCATTAGCTAACAAAGCTTCCGAATCTGGGCACATTTTAGCCAGCTAAAGTAGGTTCCTACTAGCTGGTGAACTATTTAGGTATATAGGATGAGCTAGCATCAACTAACACTGCTTGTTGCATTAGCAAATGTGGGCTAGCTAGTTTAGCTAATGTTAGCTAGCATGCTAAGCTAACGTTATTCTAGCAAGCTAACAGTAGGCTTACCTCAATGTGTTTTTTTAGGTTCGAAGGGGAGTTCTTCAACGTTAGTTTTTCCTGAACTTTTGGTAAACATAACATACGTTTCATCCGGTACGATGAATACTTCATTCCGAGAAAATAAAAGCATGTCTTTTAGATACAGCCAAGGGTGTTCGTCCTTATCAGGAGGTGGTGGTAGAGCGATGCTGGACATGATTGTGCGAGTGGATAACTGTTTTGCAAGTAACAGAATCCCGGTGGTTGGGTTTGCACTTTAGGACCCTTGGATTTGCCAAAACTGATGATTGGATCAACTCTGCATGTCGTCGCCTGCTGTATTGCAAAACAAGTTCACCCATGAGTGTGCCGACTCGCCGATGTTGCTTGCATCTTTTTTCCAACATGATTTGGTTTTTTTCTTCCAGCTTCAGTTTGATTAAATTTTGTAGCGAGTAACGAAGGTGTCAGGGGAAATGTATCGGAGTAAAAGTATATATATATATATTTTTTTAGTGTAGTAAAAGTAAAACTCGACAGAATTATAAATAGTAAAGTACAGATACCCAAAAAAACTACTTAAGTACAGTAACGAAGTATTTCTACTTCGTTACTTTACACAACTGCCCAACAGCACAGTCACTGCTATTCACCCTGATAAAACTCACAGGGTCATTGGCTCATAAGGTTCTCTTTATTCACCTGTTCCTGGCTGGTTCCAACTGACAAACTCAATCCACTGCCAGAGAGGCAGTCAACATAATTGTCAGGAGGCTGCCAAATTTTATTTCACCAAGAGACAGAGGAACAACCTCAGCGCCAAATAATTATGGGGAGATGGAAAGGAGAGGAGTCCATTGTGGATTGAGTCATCATATACCCACCCACACCATTATCATATTTGCTGGCAAAACCTTATTATAGAATTTGTACCAATTCGCCTGGAGGCGATCTGCAGCATTGACACAAGTTCATTATCTCCCTTTCCTGTTGATCTAGTCAACTCAGGCAAAATCTCGGTCTGGCTGGGCTTTAAGAAAATAATGAGGAGAGCGCTCTCTCTCTCTCCCTCCCTCTTCTTGCTCCTTTTCCCCCTCTCTCACTCCCCCTCTCGCTCTCCTTCTCCCTCTCTCGCTCTCCCTCTCTCCTTCTCCCTCTCTCCTTGCTCCTAGTACCTGAATACCATGGTCTCTCTCATTTGCATGTATTTTACAGCAAAGACTGAACCAGGGGCCTTATTTATCAACCGTGCATACATTTCTTTAAAAATTCTGGTGTACGTGGAGATTCTAGGATTTGTGTGCGCCACAAATTATTGGGATTTACCAAAATGTCACACTGTTCACCTTTTATGGTAACAAAAACGCCCTCATTTGCAACATGATTTGGAAAAGTTGGAACTGGGACATTTCCATTTCTAAAGGAAATTGGAATAGCAACTTTAATCACATTTCTGTAGAGGTGTGGGGAGAATGTTTTAAACTACAAAAAGTCACTACACAAATTATAGCGACTGCCAAACACTGGCCGCACATTCTGCATGATTGATTGTCTATTCAAACAATTTAAAACAAAATGCTACAGCCCACACTACGCAAAATCTAAATTGTTGTTCAATATTTTGTTTGTCAATAGATGATTGTGTTTCTATCTCCTTTCTTGGTATAGGCTCAGAGATTAAGTAGGCTATTATGGCGCCATCCTATCTCACAGCAATACTGCAGCCTATCCATATATACTGTCTAGGCTACCGGTCTATTACTTTCGAGCATGCTTGGCTATTGAATGAGCGATGGATAAATGATAGCCTAATATCAGTTGTGGAGGGGGAATAAACCAGTCATGTCAGAAAATATGATTATGATTTAGGCCCATATAATAAAACTCAAAGAAACATATTAGGCTACATGCTGCTATGCAATCTCCTTACCAACGGCAAATGCATCTGGTTTATCATTAGCATATGTTTTTATTAGCCTACCATTAGGCCTATTATAATTCCCGAGCAGCAAAAACCTAAATTTCCCCCAAAATAACGATATTTGCTTACAATACAATTCTTCAACTACTAGAAGTTGTGGTCAGAGATTTGCGTGGAGATACACGCAATTTCCCGCCAAGTTCAAAATTGATAAATACCAACCTTGGAGGGAAAACTGGCACACGCAAGATTTAGAACCTTTGATAAATGAGGCCCCTGGTCCATGAATCATGATTTCAAACACCAAAGGGCCACAAAACTCAAGACACTGGGATGACAATGTATTTAGAATACAAAAATCACTGAATTTAGTCTAATGTTGTCTGTCACCTATTTCATGATGTTATTTCCCTGGCAACCGATGCTTATCATATACGCACGCACGCACGTCCAATCTCAAATACAAATTGTGATCAATCGCAAACCCTGTTACAGCACCTTTTGATGTTCTATCCAATCCTGAGCAGTTGAAAAAATAGCAAACTTAAACAGTTTCTTCATTTGTTATATTTTCTATGCAGCTTTGACCTATGACCTGTAGCATTGACCTACCAGCACTCGACTCCACCTCCATGGCCTCTGCCGCAGGCTGCTCCAGCAGTGCCCCGTCCACGTGTGTGAAAACAAAGGGTTTCTCCGAGGCCACCATTAGCCCTTTCCCATGGGGCTCCACCGCTGCATAGTGGGGCACTGACTTCCCCCTCAGCTCCCTCCTCTTCCTTACCTTGTACTTCTTCTCCTGACCTGAAAATGGCCGATACAGCACACACAGAATACATGTTCAAGCATTATTAGAGTGATTTGATTGCAATTTACAGGTTTAATTCTCCTACCTGGCAATTTGGCACATATCAGACTCAAAATAAAAATATATTCTCTCTGCAACTTCTCGAGTCTGGCCCGAGTCACATGACTTGGGCTCGAGTCTGGCCTGAGTCACATGACTTGGGCTCGAGTCTGGCCCGAGTCACACATTTGATGACTTGAGACTTGACTTAATAGAAAAGAAAATAACTTGAGACCTGATTTCTTCAAGACTCAGGACTCGTCTTTGACTTGAGACCGATGACAAATTTGGCCAGGTTTTGTAACATTTTGTCAATCATTTTGTGGCACAGAATCTCTGTGGATTACTCTCCATGCAGCCAAAGACAGTAGCCGCAGCATCGTACTTGCAAAAAAAACGTGCAACCGATTGGCTAGTGAAATGACCAGCAAACTGTCAATCAACACAGATCGTGTGAGCTAGTGAATAGATTGCTGCAAACGGCTAATTGTATGGAGAGGGGATTTCCATAAATATATATGCAGCTCCAAACTTTTTGGGTGAACAACAAATATTAACTGTTTACTTTGCAAACTCAGCAGCAATGAGGCATGAAGTAACAATTACCAGCATAGGCCTACTTGTCTTTTGGTATGTCAAATTTGCTTGAAAAAGCTTGCATTTGGAATTTGTTGTTAAAAATTAATTATTACATAATCAAAATAGGTTGTAGACAAAATAATGTAAAGGGCAATCTGATAGCCTCAATATATAGACAAAGATTTGTAGTTGAAAAAGTTATTGCATGTATAGATTTTTTTTTTTTACTTGACATGAGACTTGACTTGAAAAGACTTGTGACTTGACTCAACTCTTATGCAATTTCACTATTGCATTACACTTTGTTACTGGTTTTTCCTTTTATTTCCATTTTCCTTTATTTTTCTATTTGTTTTTGATGTGTCCATTTTGTTTAAATGTATGTTACTGTTGTCTTAGGCCTATAAGGCCCTATGTAAAAAGGGGAGGTCACAATTCTGTTTGTACACTTGTTTACATGGATATGCTTCTTAATAAAAACGTATTTTAAACAAGCCATTACACTTCGTCATTATGGCATTTTATTATTATTATTATTCAGGTTATTACTTATGAATAAATAAATATAAATAATATGAATCTACAAATGAAGAAATTGATCTGTTGCTTTTTCGTATTGACACAACATTAACGCATGACAAGATTATTATTAATATTATTAAATAAAATGTATATGCCTACTTTGTCCATGTTCTTCAAAGAGAGGACGCCGTAATGAGATTAATAATGTATCCTAAGCAAGTGAAAATAGGACTTTTACAAGATTAAATCATGACGTTTGATTCTTATTAAAGAGATGGATTCCAAACAGGCTACTTTAGGAAATGTTCTTAATGGACATATAGGCCTTTCGAGAGAATCAGCAAACTCTCACACGCACAACACCGTAAAAGGACCCGTCAATCAAAGCCACAAGCGTAGGTAAGAAACAAGAGTAAATATTTATCCTTTCGTTAAAACGTATTAAAAAAACCTAGGCCTACCTTAGGCTTTCCGAAAGTAAGCTATAGTCTAACATAATGAATTGACAAGCAAAGTATGAAGGGGAGAAAGATAGCTATGCGATAGTATGAAGATGAAATTGACAATCATTCAAATATATACAAATACAGTGGGGAGAACAAGTATTTGATACACTGCCGATTTTGCAGGTTTTCCTACTTCAAAGCATGTAGAGGTCTGTACTTTTTATCATAGGTACACTTCAACTGTGAGAGACGGAATCTAAAACAAAAATCCAGAAAATCACATTGTATGATTTTTAAGTAATTCATTTGCATTTTATTGCATGACATAAGTATTTGATACATCAGAAAAGCAGAACTTAATATTTGGTACAGAAACCTTTGTTTGCAATTACAGAGATCATACATTTCCTGTAGGTCTTGACCAGGTTTGCACACACTGCAGCAGGGATTTTGGCCCACTCCTCCATACAGACCTTCTCCAGATCCTTCAGGTTTCGGGGTTGTTGCTGGGCAATACGGACTTTCAGCTCCCTCCGAAGATTTTCTATTGGGTTTAGGTCAGGAGACTGGCTAGGCCACTCCAGGACCTTGAGATGCTTCTTACGGAGCCACTCCTTAGTTGCCCTGGCTGTGTGTTTCGGGTCGTTGTCATGCTGGAAGACCCAGCCACAACCCATCTTCAATGCTCTTACTGAGGGAAGGAGGTTGTTGGCCAAGATCTTGCGATACATGGCCCCATCCATCCTCCCCTCAATACGGTGCAGTCGTCCTGTCCCCTTTGCAGAAAAGCATCCCCAAAGAATGATGTTTCCACCTCCATGCTTCACGGTTGGGATGGTGTTCTTGGGGTTGTACTCATCCTTCTTCTTCCTCCAAACACGGCGAGTGGAGTTTAGACCAAAAAGCTCTATTTTTGTCTCATCAGACCACATGACCTTCTCCCATCCCTCCTCTGGATAATCCAGATGGTCATTGGCAAACTTCAGACGGGCCTGGACATGCGCTGGCTTGAGCAGGGGGACCTTGGGTGCGCTGCAGGATTTTAATCCATGACGGCGTAGTGTGTTACTAATGGTTTTCTTTGAGACTGTGGTCCCAGCTCTCTTCAGGTCATTGACCAGGTCCTGCCGTGTAGTTCTGGGCTGATCCCTCACCTTCCTCATGATCATTGATGCCCCACGAGGTGAGATCTTGCATGGAGCCCCAGACCGAGGGTGATTGACCGTCATCTTGAACTTCTTCCATTTTCTTCCAGTTGTTGCCTTCTCACCAAGCTGCTTGCCTATTGTCCTGTAGCCCATCCCAGCCTTGTGCAGGTCTACAATTTTATCCCTGATGTCCTTACACATCTCTCTGGTCTTAGCCATTGTGGAGAGGTTGGAGTCTGTTTGATTGCGTGTGTGGACAGGTGTCTTTTATACAGGTAACGAGTTCAAACAGGTGCAGTTAATACAGGTAATGAGTGGAGAACAGGAGGGCTTCTTAAAGAAAAACTAACAGGTCTGTGAGAGCCGGAATTCTTACTGGTTGGTAGGTGATCAAATACTTATGTCATGCAATAAAATGCAAATTAATTACTTAAAAATCATACAATGTGATTTTCTGGATTTTTGTTTTAGATTCCGTCTCTCACAGTTGAAGTGTACCTATGATAAAAATTACAGACCTCTACATGCTTTGTAAGTAGGAAAACCTGCAAAATCGGCAGTGTATCAAATACTTGTTCTCCCCACTGTACATAGCCTACTTATCAACGTTGATTAGTCTTTAAATTAAGAAAAGATTCCATATCAAATTATACCATGCCAGGTTGGAGAAGATTGGCGGATTGTCCATTTGACACAACATTAGCCCATTATAGGCCTCAGAGCTAGAACAACTTTGTATATTCAGACACATCCAACCTTTAAAAGACGACCGATATAAACCTCCACTCTGCTCACCCAAAGTCATGTTTATTACAGCTGTTTTAATAGAACATGGCACCGTTGAGGGTAGAGTTGTAACGATACATGTATCACAATGGAGGCTGCTGAGGACGACATAATAATGGCCGGAACGGAGCAAATGGAATGATACCATTCCGCTCCAGCCATTACCACAAGCCTGTCCTCCACAATTAAGGTGCCACCATCCTCCTGTGGTGTTTCATGACGATACTGAAATACTTCATTTTCCATGGCAAAAGGAAGTTTCCAAGTAATTAAAGTTCACTATGGGCCCTGGTCAAAATAAGTGCACTATATAGTGAATAGAGTGCCATTTGGGATGCATCCCATGTCTAATTTTCTCATTCTGCTCTACCCTCCTTTTAATCATTACTACAAGGTAGCTTTGTTTCAGGGCGAATGCCCAGAGTTTATGACAATTCTCCTTGGCAACATTTATTTTGGAAGACAGATCTACAGCTGAGACATCAGAATTAGAGCAAATTAAAGTCAATTAACGCACATTTCGCTTTCCCAAACACTAACTAAATGTTGTTTCTGTAGGCTAGCCTTTGATAACAGAAATGATGGCCTTTGATAATAGAAATTATGTGCATGAAGGTAGTAAAAATGCCACAAATGCTCACTTCCTAATTCATACCTACCTGTTAATCAGCTAGCCCTCATCAACTTATGCACTGTCACTGAGAAACGAAAGAAGCAATGAAGCGATCTATCTTCATATGAATAAGATGTTTAATTGAACTGAGGAACAAAATTATCCTGAATAACTTAGTTACTATTCCCAACTCCCTCATCATTGATATCAGAATGAGGTAGTTCATATACAATGGTATAATGGTCCTCTGCAGCTCAGCTGGTAGAGCACGGCGCTTGTAACGCCAAGGTAGTGGGTTCGATCCCCGGGACCACCCATACACAAAAAATAATGTATGCACGCATGACTGTAAGTCGCTTTGGATAAAAGCGTCTGCTAAATGGCATATTATTATTATTATTACAGTGCCTTGCAAAAGTATTCATCCCCCTTGGCATTTTTCCTATTTTGCTGCATTACAACCTGTAATTTAAATTAATTTTTATTTGTCATGTAATGGACATCCACAAAATAATCCAAATTGGTGAAGTGAAATTAAAAAAATAACTTGTTAAAAAAAAATCTAAAAAATAAAGAACGGAAAAGCCGTGCGTGCATATCTATTCACCCCCTTTGCTATGAAGCCCCTAAATAAGATCTGGTGCAACCAATTACCTTCAGAAGTCACATAATTAGTTAAATAAAGTCCACCTGTGTGCAATCTAAGTGTCACATGATGTCACATGATCTCAGTATATATACACACACCTGTTCTGAAAGGCCCCAGAGTGCAATACCACTAAGCAAGGGGCACCACCAAGCAAGTGGCACCATGAAGACCAAGGAGCTCTCTAAACAGGTCAGGGACAAAGTTGTGGAGAAGTACAGATCAGGGTTGGGTTCTAAAAAAATATCTGAAACTTTGAACATCCCACAGAGCACCATTAAATCCATTATTAAAAAATGGCACCACAACAAACCTGCCAAGAGAGGGCCACCCACCAAAACGCACGGACCAGGCAAGAAGGGCATTAATCAGAGAGGCAACAAAGAGACCAAAGATAACCCTGAAGGAGCTGCAAAGCTCCACAGCGGAAATTGGAGTATCTGTCTATAGGACCACTTTAAACCGAGCTGGGCTTTATGGAAGAGTGGCCAGAAAAAGAGTGGCCAGAAAAAAAGCCATTGCTTAAAGAAAAAAATAAGCAAACACGTTTGGTGTTCGCCAAAAGGCATGTGGGAGACTCCCCAAACATATGGAAGAAGGTACTCTGGTCAGATTAGACTAAAATTGAGCTTTTTGGCCATCAAGGAAAACGCTATGTCTGGCAAAACCCAACATCTCTCATCATCCCGAGAACACCATCCCCACAGTGAAGCATGATGGTGGCAGCATCATGCTGTGGGGATGTTTTTAATCGTCAGGGACTGGGAAACTGGTCAGAATTGAAGGAATGATGGATGGCGCTAAATACAGGGAAATTCTTGAGGGAAACCTGTTTCAGTCTTCCAGAGATTTGAGAGAGGGACAGCGGTTCACCTTCCAGCAGGACAATGACACTAAGCATACTGCTAAAGCAACACTCAAGTGGTTTAAGGGGAAACATTTAAATGTATTGGAATGGCCTAGTCAAAGCTCAGACCTCAATCCAATTGAGAATCTGTGGAATGACTTAAAGACTGCTGTACACCAGCGGAACCCATCCAACTTGAAGGAGCTGGAGCAGTTTTGCCTTGAAGAATGGGCAAAAATCCCAGTGGCTAGATGTGCCAAGCTTATAGAGACATACCCCAAGAGACTTGCAACTGTAATTGCTGCAAAAGGTGGCTCTACAATGTATTGACTTTGGGGGGGTGAATAGTTACGCACACTCAAGTTCTGTTTTTTTGTCTTATTTCTTGTTTGTTTAACAAGAACAAATATTTTGCATCTTCAAAGTGGTAGGCATGTTGTGTAAATCAAATGATACAAACCCCTCCAAAAAATCTATTTTAATTCCAGGTTATTAGGCAACAAAATAGGAAAAATGCCAAGGGGGGTGAATACTTTCGCAAGCCACTGTACATACACTATACCAGCATCCATACAGCAGAGTTAGGTTTTGTCATCCCCTAGTGTTATGAGCAGTATATGGAATATAGGATGCCATTTGGGATAAAGACACAGTGCCCCACCCCACTCACCCTGTTCTGCAGCGTTAGAGACTGTGATCCATTCCAGAGAAACAGAGTAGCCACTTCCCTTGGCATCAGAGTCCGATGACGGGTCTTTCTGGATGCGGAGGAGCAGGACCTCCATGGAGTGGACCCCGTCCTGGACGTGAGATATGCTGTGGAGGATGGTGAAGGGCTCCCCCATCTCCTCACTGAACAAGGGCTGACACACACACACACACACACACACACACACACACACGACCAACAAGTCTATTTAGTTCACAGAGACAGAAATGTGTTCTAAGTTTAGATCAATCCATGCACAGTGGGTATGAAATGTAGTATTTATAACACATCTATAAGAAGATATACATTCAGTGGCCAGTTTATCTAGTTAAGGGTCAGACCCCAATTTGCCATCAGAACAGCCTGAATTCATCGGGGCATGGAAACGTTGCTCAATTGTTATCAAGGGACTTGATACCAGCCTGTACCGTTGACACCAGGCAGGATGGCACCATGGTCACATGCTGCTTACGCCAAATCTTGAGTCTGCCATCAGCATGATGCAACGGGAACCGGGACTCTTCAGACCAGGCAATGTTTTTCCACTCCTCAATTGTCCAGTGTTGGTGATCGCGTGCCCACTGGAGCCGCTACTTCTTGTTTTTAGCTGATAGAGGAGTGGAACCCGTTGTGGTCGTCTGCTGCAATAGCCCATCCGTGACAAGGACCGAAGAGTTGTGCGTTCCGAGATGCCATTCTGCACACCACTGTTGTACTGCGTCGTTATTTGCCGGTTTGTGGCCCACCTGTTTTCTTGCACGATTCTTGCCATTCTCCTTCGACCACTCCTCAACGAGCTGTTTTCGCCCACAGGACTGCCGCTGACTGGATGTTTTTTGTTTGTCGTAAACCCTAGACACTATTGTATGTGAAAAGTCCAGGAAGCCGGCCGTTTCTGAGATACTGGAACCGGCGCCTGGTACCGACGATCATACTACGCTCAAAGTCACTTGGGTCACTCGTTTTGCCTATTCTAACGTTAAATCGAACAGTAACAGAACGCCTCGATGCTTGTCTGCCTGCTATATATAGCAAGCCACAGCCACGTGACTCCCGAGTGGCGCAGTGGTCTAAGGCACTGCATCGCAGTGCTAGCTGTGCCACTAGAGATCCTGGTTCGCATCCAGGCTCTGTCGTTGCCGGCCGCGACCGGGAGACCCATGGGGCGGCGCACAATTGGCCCAGCGTCGTTCAGTGTAGGGGAGGGAATGGCCGGCAGGGATGTAGCTCAGTTGGTAGAGCAAGGCGTTTGCAACGCCAGGGTTGTGGGTTCGATTCCCACGGGGGGCCAGTATGAAAAATAATGTATGCACTCACTAACTGTAAGTCGCTCTGGATAAGAGCGTCTGCTAAATGACTAAAATGTAAAAATGTAATGTCTGTAGGAGCGAATCATTTGTTGTGAACGGGGTAGATGCGTAGATGCGATAGTGTTAGTGAAGTTTTAGTAAAGCTTCATATAACAAGCTACATTGTGCATTTACAGTGGGGAAAAAAGTATTTAGTCAGCCACCAATTGTGCAAGTTCTCCCACTTAAAAAGATGAGAGAGGCCTGTAATTTTCATCATAGGTACACGTCAACAATGACAGACAAATTGAGGAAAAAAAATCCAGAAAATCACATTGTAGGATATTTAATGAATTTATTTGCAAAATAAGTATTTGGTCACCTACAAACAAGCAAGATTTCTGGCTCTCACAGACCTGTAACTTCTTCTTTAAGAGGCTCCTCTGTCCTCCACTCGTTACCTGTATTAATGGCACCTGTTTGAACTTGTTATCAGCATAAAAGACACCTGTCCACAACCTCAAACAGTCACACTCCAAACTCCACTATGGCCAAGACCAAAGAGCTGTCAAAGGACACCAGAAACAAAATTGTAGACCTGCACCAGGCTGGGAAGACTGAATCTGCAATAGGTAAGCAGTTTGGTTTGAAGAAATCAACTGTGGGAGCAATTATTAGGAAATGGAAGACATACAAGACCACTGATAATCTCCCTCGATCTGGGGCTCCATGCAAGATCTCACCCCGTGGGGTCAAAATGATCACAACAACGGTGAGCAAAAATCACAGAACCACACGGGGGGACTTAGTGAATGACCTGCAGAGAGCTGGGACCAAAGTAACAAAGCCTACCATCAGTAACACACTACGCTGCCAGGGAATCAAATCCTGCAGTGCCAGACGTGTCCCCCTGCTTAAGCCAGTACATGTCCAGGCCCGTCTGAAGTTTGCTAGAGTGCATTTGGATGATCCAGAAGAGGATGGGGAGAATGTCATATGGTCAGATGAAACCAAAATAGAACCTTTTGGTAAAAACTCAACTCGTCGTGTTTGGAGGACAAAGAATGCTGAGTTGCATCCGAAGAACACCATACCTACTGTGAAGCATGTGGGTGGAAACATCATGCTTTGGGGCTGTTTTTCTGCAAAGGGACCAGGACGACTGATCCGTGTAAAGGAAAGAATGAATGGGGCCATGTATCGTGAGATTTTGAGTGAAAACCTCCTTCCATCAGCAAGGGCATTGAAGATGAAACGTGGCTGGGTCTTTCAGCATGACAATGATCCCAAACACACCGCCCGGGCAACGAAGGAGTGGCTTCGTAAGAAGCATTTCAAGGTCCTGGAGTAGCCTAGCCAGTCTCCAGATCTCAACCCCATAGAAAATCTTTGGAGGGAGTTGAAAGTCTGTGTTGCCCAGCGACAGCCCCAAAACATCACTGCTCTAGAGGAGATCTGCATGGAGGAATGGGCCAAAATACCAGCAACAGTGTGTGAAAACCTTGTGAAGACTTACAGAAAACGTTTGACCTGTGTCATTGCCAACAAAGGGTATATAACAAAGTATTGAGAAACTTTTGTTATTGACCAAATACTTATTTTCCACCATATTTTGCAAATAAATTCATTAAAAATCCTACAATGTGATTTTCTGGATTTTTTTTCCTCAATTTGTCTGTCATTGTTGACGTGTACCTATGATGAAAATTACAGGCCTCTCTCATCTTTTTAAGTGGGAGAACTTGCACAATTGGTGGCTGACTAAATACTTTTTTTCCCCACTGTATACCATCAATAATCATGTCAAATACATTATAAATCTTTTATAAATAATGCTGTATAATGTTTATTTAATGTGAATTCCCTGTCGCTGGGTAGCCTATGTTATTAATGCTTCATGACGATAGAGTTAATGTAAAGCTTTACCCACATTTCTAACTGGCTGGGCTTGTGATTAAGTAGAGGTTGGTAATATCTTTCAAGCTCATCTACACGCTAAACCTGATCTTCAGAATGGTAAATAAAGGGGGACTGACTAGATAAAACAGGCCTAGATGAATATATTCCAAAGGGTTTATGGTAGGTTAATTTGACAAACATTTCTATCAAAGTACCCATTTCATCAGATATCTTTCATTTAACCAGGTAAGTAACATTGAGAGTGGTGCAGTGCCGCAGTGGTCTAAGGCACTGCATCGTGCCACTAGAGATCCTGGTTCGAATCCAGGCTCTGTCGTAGCCGGCCGCGACCGGGAGACCCATGGGGCGGCGCACAATTGGCCCAGCGTCGTCCAGGGTAGGGGAGGGAATGGCCGGCGGGGATGTAGCACAGTTGGTAGAGCATGGCGTTTGCAACTCCAGGGTTGTGGGTTTGATTCCCACGGGGGGCCAGTATGAAAAAATAATAATGTATGCACTAACTGTAAGTCGATCTGGATAAGAGCGTCTGCTAAATAACTAAAATGTAAGTGAGATAGAATTGCCTACCTTTATAAAAATGGGATGTCAAAATCAAAAACCAGGAAAAAAACTAAAAAGAAAGTGGCTGCTATGTTGTCGGTCAATATCTGAACATTGATTATGACTGAGAGTTTATTGCATGTCCAAGTCTTACCTCCCACTTCAGACTGGAATTATCCCTCCTCATGCTGGTTCTAAGGAGGTAGAGTCTGCCCGCACCATCGGAGAGGGATGCCCAGGTGGCAGAGGTGAGGCTGAGAGAGACACAGATGCGCTCCTCACACGCGCTGGGGTCAGAGGGAATGCGGAAGACCTCTCTGGGCTTCCCCAGTGCCGTGTCCTGTCAACACAATACAAAGACCTGTCAGTCTCCTGCTGTCAACGGAGGATCTCCACGGAACCTCATCTCTGTTATGAATTCTGATTATGAATGAAATAATATTTGGACTAAAGTTTTGTTTTACCCTCTACTGCACATCGTTGCCCTCAGGCAACAGAACACTTTTTGGACCCATTATAACTTCCTACACGTGACAATACCACTCAGGGACCATTGGGAAGACAACCCTGGTCTCAATTGGGCAACCCTGAATAAATAAAAGTAATTACAAATACAGTTAAATTTAGCTCAGGTGCATCCTGTTTCCATTGATCATCCTTGAAATGTTTCTACAACTTGATTGGAGTCCACCTGTGGTGAATTATATTGATTGGACATGATTTGGAAAGGCACACACGTCTATATAAAAGGTCCCACAGTTGACAGTGCATGTCAGAGCAAAAACCAAACCATGAGGTCGAAGGAATTGTCCATAGAGCTCAGAGACAGGATTGTGTCGCAGCACAGATCTGGGGAAGGACACCAACACATTTCTACAGCATTGAAGGTCCCCAAGAACACAGTGGCCTCCATCATTCTTAAATGGAAAACCCACCAAGACTCTTCCTAGAGCTAGCCGCCCGGCCAAACTGAGCAATCGGGGGAGAAGGGCCTTGGTCAGGGAGGTGACCAAGAACCCGATGTTCACTCTGACAGAGCTCTAGAGTTCCTCTGTGGAGATAACCTTCCAGAAGGACAACCATCCCTGCAACACTCCACCAATCAGGCCTTTATGGTAGAGTGGCCAGACGGAGGCCACTTCTCAGTAAAAGGCACATGACAGCCTGCTTGGAGGTTGCCAAAAAGATTCTCTAGTCTGATGAAACCAAGATTGAACTCTTTGGCCTGAATGCCAAGCGTCACATCTGGAGGAAACCTGGCACCATCCCTACGATGAAGAACGGTGGTGGCAACGTCATGTTGTGGGGATGTTTTTCAGCGGCAGGGACTGGGAGACTAGTCAGGATCGAAGGAAAGATGAACGGAGCAAAGTACAGAGAGATCCTTGATGAAAACCTGCTCCAGAACGCTCAGGACCTCAGACTGGGGCGAAGGTTCACCTTCCAACAGGTCAACGACCCTAAGCACACAGCCAAGACAACGCAGGAGTGGCTTCGGGACAAGTCTCTGAATGTCCTCAAGTGGCCCAGCCAGAGGCCGGACATGAACCTGATCGAACATCTCTTGAGACCTGAAAATATCTGTGCAGCAACGCTCCCCGTCCAACCTGACAGAGCTTGAGAGGATCTGCAGAGAAGAATGGGAGAAACTCCCCAAATATAAGTGTGCCAAGCTTGTAGCGTCATACCCACGAAAACTGAAGGCTGTAATCGTTGCCAAAGGTGCTTCAACAAAATACTGAGTAAAGGGTCTGAAAACGTATGTAAATGTCAAGCTGCCTCACAGGTCCTCAACTGGCAGCTTCATTAAATAGTACTCGCAAAACACCAGTCTCAACATCAACAGTGAAGAGGCGACTCCGGGATCCTGACCTAGGCAGAGTTGCAAAGAAAAAGTCCAGTGTCTGTGTTCTTTTGCCCATCTTAATCTTTTCTTTTTATTGGCCAGTCTGAGATATGGCATTTTCTTTGCAACTCTGCCTAGAAGGTCAGCATCCCGGAGTCGCCTCTTCACTATTGACGTTGAGACTGGTGTTTTGCGAGTACTATTTAATGAAGCTGCCAGTTGAGGACCTGTGAGGCATCTGTTTCTCAAACTAGACATTAATGTATTTGTCCTCTTGCTCAGTTGTGCACCGGGGCCTCCCAATCCTCTTTCTATTCTGGTTAGAGCCTGTTTGCGCTGTTGTGTGAAGGGAGTAGTACACAGCGTTGTACGAGATCTTGAGTTTCTTGGAATAGCCTTAATTTCTCAGAACAAGAATAGACTGACGAGTTTCAGAAGAAAGTTATTTGTTTCTGGTCATTTTTAGCCTGTAATCGAACCTACAATTGCTGATGCTCCAGATACTCAACTAGTCTCAAGAAGGCCAGTTTTTTTGCTTCTTTAAATCAGCACAACAGTTTTCAGCTGTGCTAACATAATTGCAAAACTGTCTTCTAATGATCAATTAGCCTTTTAAAATGATAAACTTGGATTAGCAAACCCAACGTGCCATTGGAACACAGGACTGATGGTTGCTGATAATGGGCCTCTGTACGCCTATGTAGATATTCAAAAAAAAAAAATTATCAGCCGTTTCCAGCTACAATAGGCATTTACAACATTAACAATGTCAACACTGTATTTCCGATCAATTTGATGTTATTTTAATGGACAAATGTTTTTATTTTCTTTCGAAAACAAGGACATATCTAAGTGACCCCAAACTTTTGAACGGTAGTGTATATATATATATATATTCATTCCTTACTTAGATGTGGGTATTGGGTATATGTTGTGAAATTGTTAGATATTACTGCACTGTCGGAGCTAGCAGCACAAGCATTTCACTACACCCGCAATAACATCTACTAAACACGTGTATGTGGCCAATAACATTTGATTTGATTTATTCTGACCTCTTAACTTTTTCCACATTGTTACATTACAGCCTTATTCTAAAATGTATTAAATTATTAGTTTTTCTCTCATCAATCTACACACAATACCCCATAATGACAAAGTGAAAAGAGGTTTTTAGAAATGTTTGCAAAATGTATTAAAAATAAAAAACAGAAATACCTTATTTACCCCAACTTATTCCTTGCCATCCATTCTGAAACTAACTGTAGCATTTTGTTAAGTGTTGCAGTGATTAAACCCTAGTGCATTACCCAAACTCGGTCCTGGGGACCCCAAGGGGTGCACGTTTTGGTTTTTGCCCTAGTACTACACAGCTAATTCAAATAATCAAAGCTTGATGAGTTCATTATTTGAATCAGCTGTGTAGTGCAAAAACCAAAACGTCCCCAGGACTGAGTTTGGGAAACGCTGGACTAGTGTGTCCTACAGACTAATCTTGCTGCTGCTGATGATGATCTTGACACTAGCTTTAATAGTACAGATCATGTAGACCCATTGGATGAAAGTTTCAGCCGGGAACAAGCTCAACATCATCTGACTCTGAAGAGGAAAAGACTGCACGCTGCTGGCAAGAGCCAAAGTGTATAGTCTATGAGTCCAAGGTCATGGATCTCATGATGTTCTGCCAGACCAGCTGCCATTGCCCAACACGAGGTTCACCAGCTGAAGAACATTCAGGACCCTGCCAAGAACATTCAGCCAACAAAACATCCAATATAGAATGCCTGTATGCTCACAACTGCACTGTGGTATAGATATTGCTAGCTCTTGTACATATGTATTTAATGGAGTTTGATAAAATGTTTTATATAATATTTTCTACAAGTGTACTGACAAGTGACCAGTTGCATCAGAAACAAATAAAGTGTTGACTTCAACTTCTGGATCAATTCATATTTGAAAGTAAATAGCTACAATCTTAATGCAAAAAAAATAATTATGCAGGGAGTTCAAATACAAAATGTTGGCAAGTAAAGATGTTTCAATAAAATAGTAGATTAGTCAGTCAATGTAGCAAATAAGTAGACATGGCTTGTATTCAATACAAAGTTTATTTGCTCTGGAGACCGAGGGGAGTTTACACAGCACTATGCAGGAACAGTTAAATAAAGGCTAAATAAATCAATTGTGGCAATGTATGACATACAGCAGAAGAATATACTACTAACACCTATAATAAATACTACAGTTCTACAAAGGGAATACTTGCATATGGTGTGGGTGAGGTGTTCGTAGTCACTTTGATACAAGGGGAGATTGTTGTTATGAGACCTTTCACATCTCCTCGAGTCATCAACTTCTTTGTATCCAACATTCTGTCCATCGTGTGAGGGATAAATTGCTTGAATGGCCCCAATAACACATGCAGGCAAGGGGATTCGGTGTCCTCTGCCTAGCTTCTTCCCACATAGACCAAACTCCAAAAAGAATATGTAGGCCACCAAGTGGTATTGTCTAAGAGAATGACAAAAAAACAACACTATTAGTCTTTCATGGGCAATTGTTGTGTACTGTCTGTATTGCTACTGTAGCAGCACAATGCAGTATATTACACATCTCACAGACACACGTTAGCTAGCTAGAACACACAGGTATAAGCTATGACTAATATGCATCGAAGCAAAAGTCATTCCTTTACTCTTTGTCATCATCAAAACATTTCTACAGTTTTGCTCCTAATGAGATGCACTGAGGCTAGCTAGGTTATCTAGCTATAACATTAGGCTACTCACCACCTTCCGGAGACACTTGAAACCCCACCTCTTTAAGGAATACCTGGGATAGGATAAAGTAATCCTTCTACCCCCCCCAAAAAAAATAACATATTGTAAAGTGGTTATCCCACTGGCTATAAGGTGAATGCACCAATTTGTAAGTCGCTCTGGATAAGAGCGTCTGCTAAATGACGTAAATGTAAATGTAATGTAAATGCTACAATACATTTTGGGTATAGCAAACAAAGCTAGCTAGCTCAACTTGGCTTGTAGTGGTACTAGCAAGCCACGTTATGGCCAATTCTATCACAAAATTATACTGTACTGAACGACACTGCCTTGTGTAAAAAACAACAACAGCAAGCTACCGACAGCCAAACAACTTACTGTAATTTTCCCTCCGGTCCAGCTGGTTTAGGTTGCCGCTGCCAGTTGATCTTGGAGGTTCTGAAGAACGTCTCCAGCACCCCTCTATCCATATGTGCGTTGAAACTTTCATTGTCGGTCACACACATGATCCATGGTCTGCAGTGACCCTCTCCAAAAAGAACTGTCCGCGATCAAATTCATTGCAGCACAGACATTCCTCTTCTGTCGGCATGGCTGGACAGCACCCACATAGGCACCACCAGTCTGAGTCTGACCATGGCTCCCCGTCGCTGCATGCTGGTCACGAAATTCTTGATTCTGTATTCCGGCTCAAATTAATAGGGCTGTATGTCCCTATGTAAAAGAATATCAAATACGGTTTTGTCGTCCAGCTGTTCTTGGAAAGAGGAAGCATCAGAAGCAGCCATTGTAATTATTTAGCAATCTTCGCTAGACAGTGTACGGTAACATAGTTCCCGTGAACCTGTAGAAACTAGTACGGCCTCCATTTTTAGTAAAAGCCTCCCTTGGAGGGAACGAACACAACTGGACAAGGAATTAGGGCTCCCATCAGCTGTAGTCTTTACAAAGCCAGGGAAAAATGAGTCAACCTAGATATCCTGCAATGTCGTGGCAGATAGGAACATCGTTGAGACAAGTCCAATGGCTCTATTAAACAAGGACAACCATATTTACTCAATGCTAGCGTGATCGTACAACTGGCTAAACAAAGGCCACAATAATTGCTACAAAACATGACTCCATTCATTTTTAGACCAGACAGCATGCTCAATCAACCAATGACGTCACGGGTTGAACTCTCCCGGCGCAAAAATTGTAGAATTCCACTATGGTGCATAATTATTTCTGAAAAACCTTTCATCACTCATAATTATGTATGGTGACTGGAAAAACACCCTAAATAGTGTCTAGCGGTAAAGTTCCCCTTTCATAAACATTTGGTCATTTTCTTAACCTTAAACTTAAATGATCTAAAAACGCATAAACTGATTTTTTTCATATTTGCATTAGTTGTAGCTTAGACCCTATTTGACATCTGATGTTTTTTGTGTTGTGCCCTCCATCGGTTAAGACAACATGCTCTTAAATAGGGTGGGTGTCATGTTTTGGCTGATAAATGTACTAAAATGGGAATCAAATTAAAAATTTTACTTTCAAATGGTACCACAAATATGGTTGGAGGTCCACACATCAGAGAATGTTGACTTGAATGGGAATATCTGTTGTTTGAAAGTATACTGTCAATCCTCCATAGGAAATCATAGAAATATAGATATCAGAATAGACATGACCATTTAAGTTGACATTCGACAGTGGCTGGACCGGCAGCCATCTTTGTGGTAGTAATTAGAAGTAAAAATGTCAATTCAATTTAAATTTAAATGGTGTACCACATAAATTGCAGGGGTTTGAAGGGATAGGTAAATTCTATTAATTCTATTTCTATGACTGAAATGAGACCCACCCTGTATTCAATAGCATGTTGTGTCTCAACCGATGGCGGGTACAACACAAAAACCTCAGATGATGTAAAGTAGGGTTTAAGCTACAACATACGTGAATTAGTTTACACTTTTTTAATGTAATTGATGTTAAAGGTTCAAACGTTTCATATATTTTTTTATACAAATAAAAAAATCAAGACATTTTAAAATAGGTTCAACCCTGTTTGTAAGCTTTTAAATGATATCAAACTCAACTGTATACCTTTTCCAGTGATGAAGACATGGATCTCATGGTATGGTGGGGTATGCAAAATGGGTCAACTTTGAGCAGCTTAATCTACTGAATGCTTTCAGGTACAAAAACTCACTTTCTGACCACTTCTTCCATGGGAAAACATGTATGGAAAGTGTTGTTTAAATCAAAAGGGATACTGTCAAAAGGTGATTGAATTCAAAATGATTTACCCAAATCAAATTGTATTGGTCGCGTACACATACTTAGCAGATGTTATCGCAGGTGTAGCGAAATGCTTATGTTCCTAGCTCCAACAGTGCAGTAATAACTAACAATACACACAAATCCCAAAAATAAAAACAAAGAAATTAAAAAATATAGAAATATTAGAATGAGCAATGTCAGAGTCCGGAATATAAATATATACAGTGCATTCGTAGTATTCAGACCATAATTTTATTTTTTTAAGTATTCAGACCCCTTCACTTTTTCTACATTTTGTTATGTTACAGCCTTATTCTAAAATGGATTAAATAGTTTTCTCCTCATCAATCTACACACAATACCCCATAATGATAAAGCAAAAACTGAAATAAAAGTATTCAGACCCTTTACTCAGTACTTTGTTGAAGCACCTCTGGCAGCGACTACAGCCTCAAGTCTTCTTGGGGTTTGACGCTTCAAGCTTGGCACACCTGTATTTGGGGAGTTTCTCCCATTCTTCTCTGCAGAGCCTCTCAAGCTCTGTCAGGTTGGATGGGGAGCGTCTCTCCAGAGATGTTTGATCGGGTTCAAGGCCGGTCTCTGGCTGGGCCACTCAAGGACATTCAGAGACTTGTCCCGAAGCCACGCCTGCGTTGTCTTGGCTGTGTGCTTAGGGTAATTGTCCTGTTGGAAGGTGAACCTTCGCCCCAGTCTGAGGTCCTGAGCGCTCTGGAGCAGGTTTTAGTCAAGGATCTCTCTGTACTTTGCTCCGTTCATCTTTCCCTCGATCCTGACTAGTCTCCCAGTCCCTGCCGCTGAAAATCATCCCCACAGCTTGATGCTGCCACCAATGTGCTTCACCGTAGGGATGGTGCCAGGTTTCCTCCAGATGTGATGCTGGCATTCAGGCCAAAGAGTTCAATCTTGGTTTCGTCAGACCAGGTGCCTTTTGGTAAACTCCAAGTGGGTCTGTAATGTGCCTTTTACTGAGGAGTGGCTTCCGTCTGGCCACTCTACCATAAAGGCCTGATTGGTGGAGTGATGCAGAGATGGTTGTCCTTCTGGAAGGTTCTCCCATCACCACAGAGGAGCTCTTGAGCTCTGTCAGAGTGACCATCGGGTTTTTGGTCACCTCCCTGACCAAGGCCCTTCTCCCCTGATTGCTCAGTTTGGCTGGGCGGACAGCTCTAGGAAGAGTCTTGGTGGTTCTAAACTTCTTCCATTTAAGAATGATGGAGGCCACTTTGTTCTTGGGGACCTTCAATGCTGTAGACATTTTTTGGTACCCTTCCCCAGATCTGTGTCTCGAAACAATCTTGTCTCGGAGCTCTAAGGACAATTCCTTTGACCTCATGGCTTGGTTTCTGCTCTGACATGCACTGTCAACTGTGGGACCTTATATAGACAGGTGTGTGCCTTTCCAAATCATGTCCAATCAATTGGGCATATACATTTGCTAAAATTTCTTACAACCCGTTTTCGCTTTGTCATTTTGGGGTATTGTGTGTAGATTGATGAGGAAAAACATTTATTTAATCAATTTTAGAATAAGGCTGTAACGTAACAAAATGTGGAAAAAGTAATGAGGTCTGTGTAGTCATGTGTATGATGGTGTGTGTATAGATAGACATGCGCAGTATTTGAATATAAAAGGTGTGGACAGCAGTAGTTATATAGGATAGGCCTTGACTAGAATACAGTATATACATATGAAGTAGGTTACCCATGTGCTGTTTTACCAGTGCATTGAATGAACAAGTCAGAATTTTAGTATCAGATAGACTTTGCTCCACTAATAATAATTCTCAAAAGCTATGCATTATGGAGGCATCAATTTCAAGCTAGATGGAGGTATACCTGAAGCAATGTCCTTTGAGAGGTGTTGGGCTCTTGGTGTAACCAAAGAAAAAAACATCCACTGTGGAGCAGCATTAACTTTTCAGAAGAAATGTACAAGATACCCATCAAGCATTTTGAGAGACTTACTTACCAGGGTGACCGTAAGATTCAGCACTCGCCCTTTGCAGTCAACAAAGAAAACACTGTCCTCATACCAGGGGTCTATGTGCAGGTAGTTGTACATGCCAAAAGCACGCACATGGTCCAGGGTGTATTGACTGTCCTTCAGTTTCACCTCCGCCACAGCTATATAGAGGAGGTAATGTAAAAGTGTGAAATGTCATTTTTTTTAAAGAGGGTGCCACACCATTGACTAATATTATCTAGGCTAATGTTTTTATGGCATAACCTATAAGGTACAATCATTCTGCATAGCTGATATTGCAACTTAAATGTGAAGCAAGAATACTTTTTCTGCATAAAATTCTTCTTTATTGGGTATAAGGAATAAGTTATGGCAAATAGTCTGAGCAATCTGAAGTGAATAATCCCCAAAAATGAATCTACAGCCCAGATTTGTTTCAGCAATATTTTGCCACTGACTTAAAGGGATAGTGTGGTCCTCTGTAGGTCAATTGGTAGAGCATGGCGCTTGTAACGCCAGAGTAGTGGGTTCGATCCCCGGGACCATCCATACGTAGAAATGTATGCGCACAGTCGCTTTGGATGAAAGCGTCTGCTAAATGGCATAATATTATTATTATAGTTCGGGATTTTGGCAATGAGGCCCTATATTCACTTCCCCAGAGTCATATGAACTCGTGGATACCATTTTTATGTCTCTGCGTTCAGTTTGAAGGAAGTTGCTAACTCCCTTTAGCGCCTATTGACGATAGTATCTTCTGGCCGGGGGAGTTTTGTTAAGAGCCCCGACGCTTGCTTTAAACATTAAAACGCATCGCTTGCAGCATGGTTTTGGAAACATAAGAACACATCTTTCATATCAACGAGAAATAATAATTTAATGAATAAAAAGGTTAAATTACTACACACCTTAATAGGGATAGGGTTCCCGCACAGTCATATTTCCATGTTACAGTGATTGCTTATGCAAAACAGACAGAAGACAGATGACTACCTGTGCTAATTTGGTATCTGCGTCTCTGAACACCTGTGTGTAAACAGAAGACAGACGCCACAAACGTGTTGTCACAGAAAGAAATACTGTCGATTGTAACTGTTAAAACCGGTTAAAACTGTGTACAGTAAGTGTATATTTTGCATTTGTGCAATTATTTATTTAATTATCAGTTAACGTTACCTTGTTGAATTATTAAGCCTGTTTTTGTTTTTTCATTGGCTTTGGCCAATGAGCCATGGCGGAGTTAGAGCCTACAGACGCCATTGCTCTCTGTTGGCACGCGAAACTACCTTTAACTTCCTTAATACCGGACTCAGATACATACAAATGGTATCCACGAGTTCATCTGACTCTGGGGAGATGACATTAGATAAAGGGCTTCATTATCAAAATCCTGGACTATCCCTTTAACATTGACTAATGATTTTCAAAGACCATGTCATTAGTATTGCACTTGCAGTTATTGCAATACTTTATATAGTCAAACATTAGAAATAAAATAGCTAGCTACAAAGCTGCCAACTCTCACGCATTGGCCGTGAGACATGCATTTGACCCTTTTCTTATACTCTCACGACATACCTCATTTCTCAAGCATTGAAAAGTACTGTTTCTATTTGTCTAATTCGTCCATTGTACTGTATAGTCAGCATGTTAACTTTTCAACTGTGCTCCAAATCGTTTAGAAATTGCAGCATCTGCGCCTGCAATTTAACATCACAAGAGGAACTTCTATCATTGTCCTGTCTTGCCGCAGCACTGTGAACCGCGGCACACTGAAGCATTATGATTGGTCTAGTTATGTAAGGAATCATGTTTTAAAGAAATTAGAGTGGAGCGCTAGAACGTTCTCCGCTGCAGTAGCACGGTAGCACTGTTTTATGTACAATGTTATAGACAAAATTAGGTTACTTTTACTCCCGTCCCTATTGCAGAATGCAGCCTTTTGACAGCATGTACTAAAGTCGACTTAATCCACACTTGCATTAGTCCCCTCGTTTAGGGATTGGCATTTAGGCTGTAAAAAGGAAGCAGACAAACCTACAGTATGTTTTAGCAGGGAAGTTTGGTAGGGTGACCTGATTTGTAACTATGAACATTATTTTGTCAAAGATTGTGAACACAAAAGTGTACATTTGATTCTAGAGGGGTGACAATAAATAGAAAAATAATTTGGTTAGGGTGTAGGGGCAGATATGTCATCAGGAGATTTTATTATCTATTTACTTTATTTAGTCTGATCAGTGGAAAAATTTGCATTCTTAACAATGGGTTAAAATATAGGGTAATTACTGTGCTTGTCGGCAAGAACACTGCTGTTATTCCCCACACTTAATTAATTATTCCACTTCCCAATTTTGACAGTGTAATCACATACTAGAAATCTCATATGCCTACTTGTGTCTTTGAAAATGAATTATGAGGCTATGTATTTTGCAGTCATTCATTGAATAAGTCATACAAATAAGCATTTGATATTAAATGCTCCAAGAATCAAATATAATTTGATATTTTAGTATTATGCACATTCTAGGCAACTCATAAAGCATAATATTTTGACTAGGTAGAGAAAGATGACAGCAAGGATCTTCAACTAGTAGGTATCAACCACCTGCATATTGATATTCATTAGATTTTTCTTCAAGGTTTGGTGATTTTGAGAAATTAATTGTTACAACAAGAACATTTTTTCAAACACCCAGCACTTGGGAAACAGATCAGGGGTGGTGGCCAACTCTCCTGTAGAGCAAGCAGGATTTTCTTCCAGCCCTATTTTAAAGAGAGAGTTCACCCAAATTACAAAATGTTTGTGTCCTTATCTTGAAATCATTCTATGGACAAGACGACTGCAATCTATGATTTGGTTACCCACTGCCATCAAACATTAATATTTCCTGTGCAGAGCCTTGGTGTATTGGTAACACTCCCTGGCACGTTGCATAAAACTTTCCACCTGAGAACAGGGATCAATCTCTGCTTCCAACCTTCCCACTGTTTTTAGTATTTGCCTTTCTCCCTATTTAATGTAATTACTGTCTGAATAGTGTCAAACCACCTAAAGAAAATGTTTGAAAAGATATTAGCATACTTTAAATTTCATCCCCCCAAAAATCGCAAAGTAACAAAGTCATCCAATTGTGAGTGTTCATTTAATGTTGAAAGCACCCTGAATACACCTGACCTGTGATTTTTATTAAAACAAATTCCACCCTGGTCATGGGCCTATAGGCCTAAGCCATGTCAAAATGCGTAGAATTGCAGGAAATTAGCTTTAAAACAGTAAAAATGTCCACCCTCTATGGGTCGTGCTAGGGGGAAATGAAATTCACATAGCAAATCTCACTTAATGCTTTCTTCAAAGGTTGTCAGCCCTCTAGCTAAGTCAACAAAATAATGGCAATTATAGCATGCTATACCTAAGGATAATACGTCGTGGCGGGCAGTTTCTCACCAGCATCTAGCTCTACGTTGTAAGTTGGTATGGGATCCAGAGACAGTCTGTAACTCTCAAAGCTGGGATCCAAAAGCTGTCTGTTGACCTTCAATGAATAATTTGATGCAGCCATGTTTCAGAATGATTGATAAATGGACAATTTGTTTAAAAACAAAATATATAGGAGCTTGCACACAACTTCATGTGCTTCCTGTAAGTATCAGTCGGAATATTTTACGGACGGACATATAGGGAGGTATGCGAAATGGAGTTATTGCAGGACGTGAAAAATTATAAAAAATAATGAACTGATTAATATAAAAATATTCAATAAAATCAGTCTGTTGAGTTGTATACACTTTTTATAGATCATGACTGATTAAAAATAACCTGCGTGGTGGAACAATCTCATAGGCAGAACCTTCGATCTTTGGTGTTCTTCGCCGGAAGGTTTATGTGTAGGGACTGCTTGCTTCTTCGATCTTTAATAGCGTCACGGCAGGAACTTTAGCTCCCAGCATCAGTATTAAGACTTCCGGTTTTCCGATTTTTCAAAATAAAAGTCCGAGGCAAATTTTTTTTTTGTATGATACGATATCAATGTTTTTTTGCAGCTTTGCATAGTCATAGTGCCCTAAAGAGAATGACAACTTTACATGAGATAAATAATATTTTAAAGGTGGACCACATTGAAAAATTGCTATGTTTTTAATATGTAATTGTATGTTATGTATATGAGTGGTTCTGTGCTTAAATGTGTTTCTTGGTTCTTACAGATCCTATCACAGTTTTAGTTTGTTTCCAGTTTGCTTGAGATGTATTCCTGGATGATTATATGGCTCTAGTGGTTTGTAGCCTCATGTGTCTTATCAAGAAAGAAGAAAAGCACGAGAAAGTAAGCTATATACAGGGTCCTTGCCAGTACCAAATGTACAATGTGTAGGGATACTGGTTTGGTTAAGGTAGAAACAGTTGAAGTCGGAAGTTTACAGACACTTAGGTTGGAGTCATTAAAACTAGTTTTTCAACCACTCCACAAATTTCTTGTTAACAAACTATAGTTTTGGCAAGTCGGTTAGGACATCTACTTTGTGCATGACACAAGTAATTTGTCCAACAATTGTTTACAGACAGATTATTTCACTTATAATTCACTGTATCACAATTCCAGTGTGTCAGAAGTTTACATACACTAAGTTGACTGTGCCTTTAAACAGCTTGGAAAATTCAGGAAAATTATGTCATGGCTTTAGAAGCTTCTGATAGGCTAATTGACATAATTTGAGTCAATTGGAGGTGTACCTGTGGATGTATTTCAAGGCCTACCTTCAAATTCAGTGCCTCTTTGCTTGACATCATGGGAAAATCAAAAGAAATCAGCCAAGACCTCAGAAAAAACATTGTAGACCTCCACAAGTCTGGTTCATCCTTGGGAGCAATTTCCAAACGCCTGAAGGTACCACGTTCATCTGTACAAACAATAGTACGCAAGTATAAACACCATGGGACCACGCAGCCGTCATACCGTTCAGGAAGGAGACGCATTCTGTCTCCTAGAGATGAACGTACTTTGGTGCGAAAAGTGCAAATCAATCCCAGAACAACAGCAAAGGACCTTGTGAAGATGCTGGAGGAAACAGGTACAAAAGTATCTATATCCACAGTAAAACTAGTCGTATATCGACATAACTTGAAAGGCCGCTCAGCAAGGAAGAAGCCACTGCTCCAAAACCGCCATAAAAAAGCCAGACTACGGTTTGCAACTGCACATGGGGACAAAGATCGTACTTTTTGGAGAAATGTCCTTTGGTCTGATGAAACAGAAATATAACTGTTTGGCCATAATGACCATCGTTATGTTTGGAGGAAAAAGGGGGATGCTTGCAAGCCGAAGAACACCAACCCAACCATGAAGCACGGGGGTGACAGCATCATGCTGTGGGGGTGCTTTGCTGCAGGAGGGACTGGTGCACTTCACAAAATAGATGGCATCATGAGGAAGGAACATTATGTGGATATATTGAAGCAACATCTCAAGACATGAGTCAGGAAGTTAAAGCTTGGTCGCAAATGGGTCTTCCAAATGGACAATGACCCCAAGCATACTTCCAAAGTTGTGGCAAAATGGCTTAAGGACAACAAAGTCAAGGTATTGGAGTGGCCATCACAAAGCCCTGACCTCAATCCTATAGAAAATGTGTGGGCAGAACTGAAAAAGCGTGTGCGAGCAAGGAGGCCTACAAACCTGACTCAGTTACACCAGCTCTGTTGGGAGGAATGGGCCAAAATTCACCGAAATTATTGTGGGAAGCTTGTGAAAGGCTACCTGAAAGGTTTGACCCAAGTTAAACAATTTAAAGTTTAATGCTACCAAATACTAATTGAGTGTATGTAAACTTCTGACCCACTGTTAAAGCTAACTCTCTCTCCTCTGCTCTCGTCCTTCTAGACCTATCTGCTGCCTTTGATACTGTGAACCATCAGATCCTCCTCTCCACCCTCTCCAAACTCTCCGAGTTGGGCATCTCCGGCGCGGCTCACTCTTGGATTGCGTCCTACCTGACAGGTCGCTCCTACCAGGTGGCGTGGCGAGAATCTGTCTCCGCACCACGTGCTCTCACCACTGGTGTCCCCCAGGGCTCAGTTCTAGGCCCTCTCCTTTTCTCGCTATACACCAAGTCACTTGGCTCTGTCATATCCTCACATGGCCTCTCCTATCATTGCTACGCAGACAACACACAATTAATCTTCTCCTTTCCCCCTTCTGATAATCAGGTGGCGAATCGCATCTCTGCATGTCTGGCAGACATATCAGTGTGGATGACGGATCACCACCTCAAGCTGAACCTCGGCAAGATGGAGCTGCTCTTCCTCCCGAGGAAGGTTTGCCCGTTCCATGATCTCGCCATCACGGTTGACAACTCTGTTGTGTCCTCCTCCCAGAGTGCAAAGAGCCTTTGCGTGACCCTGGACAACACCCTGTCGTTCTCCGCTAACATCAAGGCGGTGACCCGATCCTGTAGGTTCATGCTCTACAACATTCGCAGAGTACGACCCTGCCTTACACAGGAAGCGGCACAGGTCCTAATCCAGGCACTTGTCATCTCCCGTCTGGATTACTGCAACTCGCTGTTGGCTGGGCTCCCTGTCTGTGCCATTAAACCCCTACAACTCATCCAGAACGCTGCAGCCCGTCTGGTGTTCAACCTTCCCAAGTTCTCTCACGTCACCCCGCTCCTCCGCACACTCCACTGGCTTCCAGTTGAAGCTTGCATCTGCTACAAGACCATGGTGCTTGCCTACGGAGCTGTGAGGGGAATGGCACCTCCGTACCTTCAGGCTCTGATCAGTCCCTACACCCAAACGAGGGCATTGCATTCATCCACCTCTGGCCTGCTGGCTGCCCTACCTCTGCGGAAGCACAGTTCCCGCTCAGCCCAGTCAAAACTGTTCGCTGCTCTGGCACCCCAATGGTGGAACAAGCTCCCTCACGACACCAGGACAGCGGAGTCACTCACCACCTTCCGGAGACACTTGAAACCCCACCTCTTTAAGGAATACCTGGGATAGGATAAAGTAATCCTTCTACCCCCCCTTACACCACCCCCCCCCCCAAAAAAAAACTATTGTAAAGTGGTTGCCCCACTGGCTATCATAAGGTGAATGCACCAATTTGTAAGTCGCTCTGGATAAGAGCGTCTGCTAAATGACTTAAATGTAAATGTAAATGTGATGAAAGAAATAAAAGCTGAAATAAATCATTCTCTCTACTATTATTATAATAAAGTGGTGATCCTAACTGACCTAAGACAGGCAATTTTTACTTGGATTAAATGTTAGGAATTGCGAAACACTGAGTTTAAATGTATTTGGCTAAGGTGTATGTAAACTTTCGATTTCAACAGTAGCTGTACCATGATATTTGCATTGCTACTAAGTAACCCTCCAATTGTTCTCCACTATTTGTTTTAGCTGTTAGTGATAGTTCCCTAACTGCTAATACATTTGTGTTTACATCATTAAGCCTTTATGTAGGGCGGCAGGTAGCTTAGTGGTTAAGAGCATTGTGCCAGTAACCGAAAGGTTGCTGGTTCTAATCCCCGAGGCGACTAGGTGAAAAATCTGTCGATGTGCCCTTGAGCAAGGCACTTAACCCTAATTGCTCCAGTAAGTCGCTCCGGATAAGAGCGTCTGCTAAAATGTAAATGTAAAAATGTTATGAATGACCAAAGGTGTCTGACTTTATATTAATTACAAATCATACAATGTTTTATTAATGACCGAAGGTGTCTGATTTCAAACTAGGTTTTACAGGATACTTCAGAAAGGGTCAATACATAGGTTATTAACGTTCTCCTGATTTATGAAGGTTCTCTCATGATCCACAGGTTACACAAACACGCACAGGGTGTGAAAGGTATTTAAATGGGATGATGGACCTGCAAAGTTTACGTTTCTGTGTGTCTGTGTCAGAACCAAGATGATTTAGAGCAGTCCAACCTGAGACTACCGCACCAGGTATTCCTCTTCTGTTCCAATGCTTAGGCTTGATTACAATCTGTTACAATGGTGCCAACATTTTGTGGTTGATCTTTCAGCGAGGGAGTGGGTGAATGTGTCAAAGACATGACTTGGCCCAGCACCGTGCGGTATGGCTCGTTTTTGTTGTGTGCATGTTGGTGTATGAGGAACATGTAACTTGGTTCCAGAAGTGCCCCTTTTATTCTCTGTACCCAACGCACTAGAATACCAGTTCTTAAAGCCTTTAGCCATATCCTTATTCTATTCCTCCTCTGTTCCTCTGGTGATGTAGAGGTTAACCCAGGCCCTGTAGCCCCCAGTATCACTCCTACTCCCCAGGCGCTATCATTTGTTGACTTCTGTAACCGTAAAAGTCTTGGTTTCTTGCATGTTAACATCAGAAGCCTCCTCCCCAAGTTTGAGTTATTTATTGCGTTAGCACACTCTGCCAACCCTGATGTTCTAGCAGTGTCTGAATCCTGGCTTAGGAAGGCCACCAAAAATGAAGAAATGTCCCTCCCGAATTACAACATTTTCAGTCTAGATAGAACTGCCAAAGGGGGGGGGAGTTGCAATCTACTGTAGAGATAGCCTGCAGAGCTCTATCATACT